GCTATCATGTGGAACTGAATAGTATTGTAAAATAATAATAATAATAATAATAATAATAATAATAATAAAAGAATTCACTGGTGTGAAGTAGAATACCTTAGAACTGTCATAATCAGGAAGAATGTAGTTTTATTATCAAAGATAAATGTGGGAAGGCCACATGACATAGTGGTATGGAGAGGAGCGGACCTGAGAGGAGGATGAGCCAGGAATGTAGCCTAGCAAGGAGACAATCCCAGGGAGCTCTTGGCACTTCAGACTGCTGTCTGCCCTGGGCATTGCAGCTACTGCATTCCTGTGGCTCCTCTGGTCTCCCCAGGAATGGGCTGGGCTGTAGCTCAATGGTAGGATTCTTGCTTAGTAGGCACAGAACCATGGGTTCTATCCCAACACTAGAAAAAATAAGTCAATAAATAAAATAAAAATAAGGAATGATAGTACTCCTTCTTGAGACCTACAGTCCAGTGGGGGAGACATGGATGTGACTTTTCCCTGTGAAATGCAGGTGCTAGAGTGAGGCTATGGCACTCAGAGCACTCGTCTGCCTGCTTGATCATTACCTTCCTTTCCTCCCTTCCCTTTCTCTCCTGTCCTTGTCCTTAGGAAATCTTATTTATTTATTCTCTGTATGAAGCTCTGTGTAGATGAAATTCTAAATGGTCTTATTAAATAAGAAACACAGAACCAAATAAAGAGTTAAAAGCCCAGAGATTGAACAGCAACCAAGAGCTAAGACCACCTTATCTTACCACTCACTGCTGTCCTTCCCCTGAGAGGAAGACCTTCTTCCTGTCGTCCTTCCCCTGAGAGAGAGACCTTCTTCCTATGTCCTGTCTTTTTATTGCCTTTCTGTCCTGCCTTCTCATTGGCTGTAAACCCAACCACATGACTTCCTCGTCACTGCCTGTCTATACAGACCTCCAGCTCTCTATGGTTGGTACTGGGATTAAAGGTGTGTGTCACCATGCTGGCTGTGTCTTTGAACACACAGAAACTTTGCCTGCCATATGATTGGATTAAGGGCGTGTGCTACCACTACCAGACTTCTGCTAAATGGCTTGCTCTTAGCTCTGATCCCCAGGCAGTTTTATTTATTAACATACAAATAAAATCACATTTCAGCACAAATAAAATATCACCACAGCTCTGGCCTCTGAAACAATTCTCTTTAGGTCACCTAACAGTGTCTTCCAAATTTCCTTTTGTAGGATTTGAGACAGTCATCATTAAGCAGATGGAGTTGACTGTCAGCACAAATATCCTCTCACCTGCTAATCTCCCTTTACCAGGCCCGTAACTAGAGGGGACTTGAGAGTCAAGGCTGTTATGACTATGCTTTTTTTTTTTTTTTTTAAATACCAGGTAACACAATTCTTTTGAAATTTGAGAGGCTTGAGTGAAAATATAACCTACAACATTAAATTTAGATACATGGCTACAGCTAGAGCCTAGATACTAAAAAGTGCTAGCGTTAACAATGCTTTAAAGATATGAAGACTATAAATGTGTGACACTAGGTTTAATTTTGAAGTCATTACTTTTTAAAACAAAATTGTGGGGACTTTTATATTTTTTTTCCTGGAAGCTTGACCTAGTTTTTCTGCCCCATGTAACACCAACTGTACGTTTGTATGACAAGTCTAGCTTTGTTCAGAGATCTGGCAGCCTTGTGTGGATTCCAGGCTTACCAGAAAGCCAAGACTAGAGAAGACAGAAGACATAGGCTATGTGCAAGATGGGAACCATGCTGGCTTCTCTTGGTGTTCAATGATAGGGTGCCAGTGTTTGTGAACTTGTAGGTCTTGAGGTTTAATGTAGCTTAGTGTCTGTCCTTATGGTTTCAGTCTAACTGATATGCTAAGGTAGGTTTGTTTGCAGTTGGAATTATGGAGGAACATTCTGTATTGTTTACAAGTAGAATAAGGTATTGTGGTTCATTCCTTTTAAAGAAATAAACTTTATTTTATTATTATTGTGTGTATGTATGTGTCTGTGTGTGTATGTATGTATGTGTAGGTGGGGAGGTCAGAGGATAACCTTGGAGTCAATTCTCTTCTTCAACTTTTATGTGGATTCCAGGGATTGAATTCAGGTCCTCAGGCCTGTAAGGAAGCACCTTTACTCATTGAGAGATTTCACCTTCTTCATTCTTTACTGCAATTTTAGTTGTATCAACTACAAAGGGTAAATCAGCTGCAAATTTTTATGCCAAATTATGCTAATTCATTTTTTTTTGTCTTGGAAACTTAACACACTTGTCACATTGTTTATTTTACTTTATTTAAAAATTCCTTGAATAGTTACCAAAAAATAATACTGCTTAAGAAAGATTAATTTGTGAAGGGCTGTCACAGTTACATAATTCAAGGTTATAACATGGAGCATGGATGATGTCTGTCTTAGTCAGTGTTCTATTGCTGTGAGGAGATACCATGACCACGGCAATTCTTAAAAGGAAAATATTTCATTGATGGGGCTCGCTTACAGTTTCCGAGGTTCAGTCCATTATCATCATGATGGGGAGCATGGTGGCGTGCAGGCAGATGTGGTGCTGGAGTAGTAGATGAGAGTCCTACATCTTGCAGGCAACAGGAAGTCCACTAAGAACCTGAACGGTATCCTGGGCATAGGAAACCTCAAAGCCAGCCCCACAGTGATGCGCTTCCTCCAACAAGGCCACACCCACTCCACCAAAGCCACACTTCCTAATAGTGCCACTCCCTATGAGATTCTGCGGGCCAATGACATTCAGATACCACAAAGGCTGTTTGATGAGATGATGGTGCCACAATTACAATAGGAGGGCTGCTGTCGTCTTTGGAGTGTCTGCTTTTTAAAATCTCCCCGATTTATAGCTGAAAGCTGTTTTTCTAAGGGTGGGATTAGTAAAATGAAACACGAAGTGTGTTCTTGGACTCTTCTACTCCACCCACCAATGTGAAAGGAAATTAGTTTATTGATAGAGAATAATATATAATTAACTCTTTTGCTTTCTTTTTGCTTCAGAGTGCCAGTTGTTAGAACAGATGCGGCTAAGTGGGAGCTCTCCATAAAGTTACATGATGAAGATCACACTGTCGTGGCGTCAAACAGTGGGTCGACTTTTGCTGTGAGTTTTGCTTGTTCATTTGGTAATCTTGAATTATCTAGGCAGTTAGAGCCTGTTTAGCCTCTCCAGGGTCTCTTCACAGCCTCCAGCATAGCTCTGTGTTTGTCCTTATGAACTGAATTTAAATGGGACTTTTTTGTCCTCTTATGCTAATTAGGGAACACATTCTTAGATTTAGCCATATTCTAAACTTCCTGATTCATTTTTCTTCAGTACCCACTGAAAAATTGTAGGTTTGCCTTTGTGTCAGAGATTAAGGTGCAAGAATCTGATTTAATCCCTCCCTTGGAAAAACTCCTCATGATCTGGCATGGAGTGTATCTAAGCCACACCCTGTCAAGATTATTCCTATGAGCCCAAACTCCGTGTTTGTTTGCTATTTCATTTTAGAAACTCACGATCCCTGACTGTTCAAGAACTGTCTTTAGATTGTTCTTCCTATAAAATCCTCTCCTGCCTTACCTTTTATCTCATGAGGGAAACACTTTGAAATGAGTGCATTAAATCGTCTTGGAAAGATCCACCTTAGCATGTGACATAAAAAAAACCTGTTTCCTCATATTTTTCACTTGGATGCTGTATGATGTGTCATCCTCAGAAAGTAGCTTGAGTTCCTGTGGTGCCCCCCAACTTTCACATGTAGAGATAGACTGAGCTGTTTCAGGCTGGCCTTGCAGGCAGGGTCAGTTAGGCATACTGGTGTGAAGGCTTGTAGAGTATGGCATCTTTTCTCCTCTCACTGAGAGAACTGTTGTTGCTGGAGAGCTTCTCTCCAGGTTCCACCAATCCCCGCAGTCCCACAATCCATGTATAAAATAATCACTCAGACACTTATATTACTTATAAACTGTATGGCCGTGGCAGGCTTCTTGCTAACTGTTCTTATATCTTAAATTAACCCATTTCTATAAATCTATACCTTGCCACGTGGCTGGTGGCTTACCAGCGTCTTTACATGCTGCTTGTCCTGGCGATGGCCGCAGTGTCTCTCCCTCCTTCTTCCTGTTTCCCCAATTCTCCTCTCTCTTTGTCCTGCCCATACTTCCTGCCTGGTCACTGGCCATCAGTGTTTTATTTATATAGAGTGATATCCACAGCAAACTGTGGTTGTTTCCTTGGTTTCTTGCCATAGCTAGAACAAAATTAGCCTAAAGGTGACAGGGCAGGTTTGGCTTATTGACTTTAGAGAAAGTATGAGCTAAGACATGTTTGATTAGCTTGCAGTACAGCTCAGAGAATCCAGAGTTTTAGAGTTTACAATTTTTCCAGCATTTTAAACTTTGAAGATTTCAAATGGAGAGCACAGTGGGTACAGACTTCCTACTAAAAGGGGAAAAATCTGTAGATGCAGCTAATCATCTTGCAGCCTCCTTCTGCTCCTGCCCTGCCCGCCATCCTCCCCAGGGGTGGCAGTTGTTCTGAAAGTGTCATGTGTCCTTGTATATACTCAGTGTGTGTTGGCTCTACAACAGTGAAAAGGAGCAACAGGAAAGTGTACGTACACACACACACACACACACACACACACACACACACACACACATCACACACATTGAAAAAATGGGGACTGGATATGAATAGATACTTCTTAAAAAGAGAAATCAAGTGCCCAAGAAGCACAAGAAAATACTCAGTATCACCATCATGAGAGAAATGGCAAGTTGAGTGACTAGTACAGTGAGGCACCTCCCCCATCCATGGGGCTATTCTGTGACTGTTTGACTGTGTTCTGACAAATAAAGCTTGTTGGAGTCAGAGGGTAAAGCTAGCCACTAGCTGACCAAAATTAACCGTAGAGGTTTTGAGGACCGTAGACAGATAGGAGACAGGAAGTAGTAAGGTGGGGTTGAGAGAGGATCTAGGCCCCTTTGGAGGAAGGAGCAGAAGAGGTTGGAGGTGACTGGTGGATGCTCCCTGCTTCTCTGATCTTTCAGGCTTTTACTCTGATAGCTGATTCCGATTTTTTTATTGGTAAAGAATAATTAGTTAAGGCTTCAGGAGGGTGTTGGCAAGGAAACAGAAAAAGACAAGTGTTAGGCGGGGTAGGAGCATGGAAACCCTTGATCTCTGTTGGCATGCGTGCCACAGCCACTATGGGAAATGATACAGGACTTCTAAACACTAAGAAGCCACACCATATGAAGCAAATCCTCAAAAACATTTTTGCACACATGTGCTCATAGCAGCATTATTCACAGTAGCAGAAATAAAACTATCCAATATCTACTAATGGGTCAGTGGACAGGCAAAATGTGGGACCTCCACACAAGTGGGAATTACCCAGCCCTAAAAAGGAAGGACATTCTGTTATATGCTAGAAGAAGGACCTTGAGGACACTATGCCAAGTGAAGTAAGTCACTCAGAGGACACATGCCTTGGGACCCACCAACATGAAGTCCCTAAAGCATTCAAATGTTATAGAGACAAAAAGTTGAGTGGTGGTTGCCAAGTACTGGAAAAAATGAAAGGAGGGTCCAGACCTGGTGGTGCCTGCCTTTACTGCCAGCCCTTGTAGGGTAGAGGTAGAAAGATTAGGACCCTGAGGCCAGCCTGTGCTTTGGGATCTTGTGGTAGTATTGTGTTCCCCAAAATATTGTGTACCCTAATAAACTTATCTGGGGTCAGAAACAGGACAGCCACAATATTAAACATAGAGGATAGGCAGTGGTAGCACATGCCTTTAGTCCCAGCACTTGGGAGGCAGAGCTAGGCAGAAATCCATGTGTTCAAGGATACAGCCAAGCATGATGACTCAGGCCTTTAATCCCAGAAAGCAAGCCTTTAATCCCAGGGAGTGATGGCAGAAAGCAGAAAGGTATATAAGGCATGAGGACCAGAAACTAGAAGCATTTGGCTGGATAAGCCTTTAGGCTTTGAGCAGCAGTTCAGCTGAGACACATTCGGATGAGGACTCAGAGGTTTCCAGTCTGAGGAAACAGGACCAGCTGAGAAACTGTCGAGGTGAGGTAGCTGTGGCTTATTCTGTTTCTCTGGTCTTCCAGCATTTACCCCAATACCTGGCTCAGGTTTGATTTTATTAATAATAACTTTTAAGATTCTTACTACAGGATCTTGTCTCAAAAAATTTTTTTTTTTTTTTATAAAATAAAATCAACTAAATGAAGTTTTAAAAAAGATGGTGGGGTGGGGAGGGGTGGGCAGTTACTGTTGTAAGAGTACAAATTTTCAACTGTGTAAGGTGAAGTGTTTTAGAGGTATTTGGTGAAAGTTCATGAGTATATGCATTGAGTGCATAGCACAAGTAGAAGCTATACTCAGCAACTCACTTTGGTGTTCCTATGAAGACATAGGCGCTCAGGTCAAAGTCTGGGATTAGTGAAGGCAACTGTGAACTCAGCCGCCAGGATGAGCAATAGAATTGACTAGGAGTGTGAAACCCCTGAACACACATGGTGGAAATGCTAGCCAGTCTTTCACAACATTGAACTCCAAAGTGAGGACACTGAGCTGAGTCCATGTCTAATAATATTCTGGATTCCTGAGTTCCGCCCACTTCTCTCTTGTGCAGTATAATATAAAACTGGTTAGAACAGCACAAGAAACACGAAGATTAGTGTGTTTGTTGCTTTAACAATGAAGAACTAAATTTATATTGAAGACCATTCATTTTGAAGAAAAATGTCCTAGTGGTCCTGATAGGTAAACAAATTGGGTTAGAAATGTGATCCTCCAGTGACAGGCACGTGAGCACTACACGGGCACATTGAATGTTTTGCCTGGTGTTTGCCTGATATCAACTGCTCATAAGTAACACTTAGGAGTAGATATTCCTGCCTACTAGGGCCAGTGGCAGCAACCTTTATAAAGATGCTCCGGCTGCTACTTAAGAATAAACAAGGTTAGAGAGCTGGATTAGTGGGGAGGAGCGCTCCCTGCTAGTCTGAGGACCCGAGTTCCACCCCGTGAGCCTACATAAGAAGCTAGATAATGGTGACACAAATCCATCATCCCTGCAAGAGACAGAGGCAGGAGGGTTGCCCAGAAGCCCAAAAGCCAGCTAGGCCAGAGCACAAAACAGCACAGAAGCAAGAGAGAATGCCTCAGCAAGACAAAGAGAGCCCAGTGTTCATTGTTGCCCTCTAATCTCTGCCAGACACCATGGCATGAACAACTCCAACCCTGTCGCTGTCAATCAACCAACATTCCAAAGAGTATCCAAAATTCCTAAAAATTTAAATGGTAAAAGTAATACTTAGAGTTGCTGGTCAAAGAATAATTTCCTACTATTTTAAAATTTAAGATAAAATTCAAATTTAAGGTTAGCATATAAAGTTCTGGTATTCATTTTGATACTATCATTCATACTTTGTTGAAATTTCTTCACCTTTTCCACTGCCTTCCTCTACTTTTTATGATTCTCTTCTACCCCCTAAAAAGCCCTTTGTGCTTTTAAATTCTTTATAGTTAATTTTCCTAACTTAGGTTCAGTTTTTTTTATTAAGAGAACAAAATATTTCCAATAAGTATAAACTGCTTCATTAAATTAAAGTTAGAGTCCTTCCATTCCCCCCGTTTCAAGTTATATGTAGATACAATTTGTTGTATTAAATTTAAAAGGCTGGGCGTGGCGGTAGGTTAGCACTTCCTAGCACGCATAGGGCCCTGCTAGCGCTCGTGTAAATAAACAGCAGAGACCCACATCTGGAATGGCAGTATGAGGTGCCCCATGGGCTTACTCTTCAGCAAAGTTGCCATCATTATGAGCATGATGACGGTCTCTATTTGTAGGTGCTAGGTGGTTGTATGTAGAACATAGTAAGGAATCAACTAAGAAACTATCACGAAAAGTGAGTTCAGTGTGGGTGCAAAATCAAGTCAGTTAAACCTCTCTTCACTTGCAGTAGCAACTACACAGTAAAAATAGTTCCATTAACAAGAATATCAAAAGAATGTGATATCGAGGAGTAAGTACAATAATAGTGTGTAACATACATGGTGAAATGCACAAGTCATTGAAAGAGAATGAAGGAGAAAGCGC